ACCAATCAGCTCACAAATTTGGAAACTGTAAAATAAGATAACCAAATGATTCTTCCAAGACCACCCAGTGAGCCTGTGGCAGATGAGAAACTAGAACTCATGTCTTTCAACACAGACTCCTCTCTGCACTGTGTTGGGCAATGTAAGCAGTCAGTATGTGAGAAATGGTTCATATGATGCCTAATTTATTTCAGGCTTTAAGTGTACATCCTACTAAATGATCAATTCATATGCTAATGCTAGCTTAGTCTCTGTTTAAGATTACAGAGCCAAAAGCAAAAGACTTCACTACTTTCGGATTTTAGTTTACAAAGCTGCACTCTTGATTGGCCTCTGTGTTTGGTCAATATCACATTTTTGTAGAAAAGGGTCTCTGTGGTTATTGACTGCCTGAAACTATGCTTTTCCAGCCAGCGTTTGAGAGCCTTTTAAGCGGTATGAGACCAATTCTCTTTGCCCTGTTTCTATAATCTTCTAGTAGCGCCTACTGCTGGCCCCAGTCAGGGAGCCCTGAGTGCTATTGCGGCCCAGTCTGGTCCTCACTCCTGTTAACTGCAGCACTTGTCAGAAATCATTAGCCATGGATTCCTTTGACTAATGTTGCAGTTGATTGTCTGAATCATGTTCAGACACTGTAAATGAGGCAGAAACATCCTTTCTGCTCACCAACTGTGAAATGGCTAAAGGGGGTTAGACTGTTAGAAATCAGAATAAATGTATCTCCAATAAGATTTGACAGTGATTTCAAACTCAAGATGGCAAGCTTGTTTTTTGCTTTTATTTGCCACGCAAATATAAATCTGGATGGTTGTCTTTTTCTCCTCTCAGTACTATCCTGGACTGAAGGCAGTGCAAAACTCTTGTTATGGAGCGACGCTAGTTGGGATTTGTGCAGGGTGTGTATAACAGAATGTTAGCGGCACCGCTTGTTCTAGTGGACGAGGAAGGAAGAGATAAATGAAGTGCACCCTAGGCAATGGATTCATAACTTCATTGGTAGCCAAAGCCCCGAGATGTTCCTTTTTTTGGCTCACAGACAACTTGGGAATGAGCTAGGTGTATTGAAACTCTTCTAGAATTCCTGGATATGTAGGCAAACCCAGAAATAAAACAGTCACATGCAGCTAAACTGCCCTGGGGTTTTATTCATACTTATTACATAGCATCCTAAATGTAACTTGGAGCCTTTGGGGAGGGCAAGGACCTAGCTTGTCAGTAGTGGAACTCCTGTCACTTGGAAGAAGGATGGGCGTACCATGTGTTGTTCCACAAAACCCACCGTGGTCTGGCAGGCGGCAGTTACAGCTTTTGGATCAATAACCAATAGTTTTCTCATGGAGCTCTCCGATGACTGGGAGGCCAGGCTCGCGAGAGAAGAGTTTCCAATCGTGAAAATAGGTCAAGGGAAGGCTAGAGCAGGGTCCCTCCAAAGTGACACTATTGACAATTGGGTCCAGAATATTATTTGTTGTAGGTCCAGGGAGAGGGTTATCATGCTCGCTGCAGTGCTTTTAGCACCATCTCTGGTCTCTACCCACAGGAGAAGAGAGGGAGAGAAGGAAGGTGTCGTGGAATTGGTAGCTACCCCTGGTGACTCTGTGTGCTTCTCATAGGCTTTTCAAGGCGGAGATCTTTCAGGGGCAGGTTGCCAGGCCTTTCTTCAGAGGTACCTCTGGGGGGTTCAACTCCTATCCTATCCATTAGTAGTAAGCACTTACCTGTTTACACTACCCAAACCACCACTACCACCACCCACAATTATGTTAACCGTTTTTATCTCCAGACATTGTCCAAATGTCTCTTGCTGGGGACAAACCGAAAACTAAACCAATCTCACTGCCATTAGTCAATGCTGACTCATAATGGCCCTCTCAGACAGAGTAGAACTGCCCCCTGTAGGTTTCTGAGATGATAACTCTTTACAGGAATAGAAATTTTCCTTCTTTTTCCTGCTAGAGATACAGTCTCCTCTTTTTGATAACCACCAGGCCCAAATATAAGTCCTTGAGGAAATCTTTATGGGCACCTGATCTGATTGGAATAAGATCATAATAGCCCTTGAAGTTAGATTTGCATACTTGAGGAATAGGCTCAGAGAGGTTAAGTCTCCTGACTCATCACCCATCCCAGTAGCAGAGCTGCTGACCCAGTAAAAGACCTGCCTGACTGGAGAGCCTCCAATCTTTCGGGAAAACTTGACCATGCCAGAGGAGATTTGCTTAGATGGTTAGTAAGGTCTCTTCCAAACAATGAAATCTCTGAATCTAAGCATGCGCTCCATCCACACTTTCAGAGAAAGAGAGGAGAGCAGAGGGTAGCGTGTGTAATATATATATCAAAATTACTCCAAAATGGTGCCATAATTTTGGAAAGATGCCTGTTTAGTTTATAAACTAAAACACGAATGGGAGTGCATTGAAATTTTGAACAAATTGCAAAATTCCCAATTCTCACGGACTTGATTCTATGACTTATTTTATATGGTCGTTTTCATGGGTCATGGTCCCGCAGTAGTGAGGGCCACCAGCCAGGACCCAGAGGCCCATTAAACTTGGGGTCTTTGATCTGCTTGATCTGAAAGCCTTTGTTTTTCTCTCTTTACCTGGGCATGAGGACCACCCAGAGTGGAATTCTGACAGCTCAGGATGAAGGGAAATAAGAAGGCAACGGGCTGACCAATCTTGAGTGTGGAGTTGGAATCAGAAGTACTGAGCTGCCTATAAAGCAGAAAGACAAAAACTGTAAATTCCAAAAGTCCAGAAAAGGACTGCTTTGACGTGTGTCAGATAAAGGAAAGAAAACAAATGAACTGGTGCTTCGTCCCTGCAATAAACAGATGCTCACTTCTTTGTAGCTGCTGTGTGGAAGACTGCCACTTAATTTTATCAATGACAACTGGGATCATTTAGCTCTTGTTACTGTGCAAAAACATTCTAGGAATGAACTACATAGTAGAATTTTCTGTTGGGTGTCTTGCTTCTCTCTACTCTGTTAAAACTTGCTCTGCCCTGCCTCCCTCATTATACATTTATTACACGTTCATTCTCATCACAAACCTTTGTTCCTACTGCCCTCCTGGCTATATTCCCAATGCCTATCTTATCTTTTAGAACCCTGATGGCACAGTTGAGTAAGCATTGGAGTGATAACTGTAAGGTTAGCTGTTCAAACCCACTAGCCACTCCTTGGGAGAAAAATGAGGTGGTCTGCTCCTGTAAAGATTTACAGCCTCAGAAACCCAGTATAGGGTCATTATGAGTCAAATCAACTTGATGTGATAGTGCTTGAGGGAATTCCTTTATAATGGTTGTTGAGGTTTTTATTCCTCTTTGAAGCCTTTCTTGATTATATTTTGCTCATAGTGTAAAAATTCTGAAATGCAATTATTTGTGAATTTATAACTTGTCTCCCTCTGGCCCAAATTCAATGTCAGTCCATGAGGGCAGGAAGTTTGCATTCTTTACTGCTACATCCCTAGCACCTGGAACTGGTTTAACAGGAAGTAAGACTTTGGATCAAAATGCACCAGTAAGTTTTAAGGCCCATATGATGCCATGCCCACCACCTGTCAGTTTGTCATTACTGTGATGGCTTGTGTGTTGCTAGGAGGTTGGAAGTGATGCCATCTATATTTCAAGAACCAACAAGGTAGTTCATGGTGGACAGGTTTTAGACACACTTGCAGACTATGACAGACTAGGCAAAAAAGGTCTGACCATCTAGTTCTGAAACTTGGCCAACCAAAACCCGGTGAATCACCCCAGAGTATTGTCTGCTAGAGTGCTGGAGGATGAGCGCCTTGGTTGCAGGGCACTGGAAAACACAGTGTGGCTGTAACACTGACCTCAAAACTGCCAGTGACCGGGACCATATTGCACGACCAGAAAACGTTTTGCTCTGTTACACATGGGTTACAACAGAGCATGGCTTGTGCCATGAGTCAGAACCAGCTCAGTGGCAGTTAACATTATGCCAAGCTCTCTCTTGTCAATCCCATGGAACCCAGATTTTGTAAGGTATCACAGCAGCCTCGTTGACTTTATTTCCCCAGTATTGACTTTACAAGAAGAAAGACTAGTGTCAATCCACTTCTAACACTTAAACATTGTCAGCTGCCTGGCACAGGCATTGCACACGGGCAGATGGACACCTCCCACTCGCGGACTTTTTCTCCCAAACCCTGTCACATGCCGCCCACTAATTCTTTCTTAGAAAATGTGCAAAAAGGATTTCCATAGAGGCCTTTGGAGAGTTCTTGTGACCTCATGTGTGTAATAGGCTGGCTCTAGGAACAAGGAAGAGAGAACGGCATCTTTATTTTTCTGGGTTATTTTTTTTCTCCTTCTGGCCATTGAAAAGGGGAAAACAGTGAAAAGGAAAATTATACCCTATAGGTGATGTCAGTACTAAATTAAATTAAGGTCATATGTTTGGCTATGGCAGCTGTAATCTTTTGATTATTGAAGAGATTGTTGGTAATGAAGTACATTCGTAAGAAATATTTTTAGTGTATACTGCACATGTGTGTAAACTGTGAGATATGCACCTAATAAAATGATCGAGTTAGCAATTGCCTGGCACCTAAATCCATGCTTTTCAAACAGCTATTTATAGAAAGAAAAGTGATATTTAAGCTACGATAGTAGAATATTATAATCTGCCTTATATTACCTTAGATAATAGTCCCATATTTTAAAATAATGTAAACCATTCAATTATTTATTCACACCTAAGTTATATAAATTGGAAGATTTGGTATTGTGCTGAAAGAGAATTATTTTTCCCAAAGTAAGACCTCACTGTCACGGCTTAAAGAGATTGCTGTGAAACAAGTTAAACTATAGATAAAAATAAACCAAACCAACATGAATTTTTAATCCACAAAAGAATTTTTATGGAGACATTAAAAACCACTATTAATTTTAATCTTCTCTTATGAAATGAAGCATCAGTGTGTCTGGCCATGCTAGGCGTTTCATATGTCTTTCTCTTTCTGATAGGTCCTTAATGCTTTAACTAAAATCTCCGAAGACCTGGATGATGAGCTCAGTCTGGGGAGAGCGTATGAAGCCATTGCCAAGGTCCTGCAGAGGTAAGCTAGCACATCCTTGTCCTGCTGCCACCGTGAACTCACTCAGCTGTGAACGGCTGAGATTGTTTGAGGTCCATCGCTTCCCATTATGGCCTGCTTAAATTTTAAGCAGCACGTTTCTTAAGTGACCCTTTCATGGGCACTTATTGTAAACCAGCATGGTGTTTTAGAATATGCATCTACGCTCTTCTTCGTTTCTCTCTTTTTGCATTGTTTTCATTTTTCATCTTCTGTAAGTTCCGTGATGACCCTGAATACCAGGAGAGAAGAAAAAGCAGGTCACCTCTCACAGGCTGGAAAAGCAGACAGCACAAACACACGTAGCATGCTTCAGTAGCCGGCTCACCCTGACCTTTCCAGCTCTCTTCTTCGAGGAAAGTCTCTGTTTATGCTTCGATTGTACTTCTTCCATTAAGACGTCTGTCCTTTGAGCACATCTGGATTAAACAATTGCATGTTGCAAAGGCAACATTCCCATGATTTCATTTAAAAGAGAAGATTTAATAAAAGTACACATAAAATACTCCTGACACATTTTTCCATGGCTTGCCTCACATACACACTTTGTATTGTGAGTTTTGTGAATGCCATTTAATGATCACATGATATAGTAGCATACCGTTTAAGCCAAGCTGATAAAACTAAACGTTCTTGAAGGCAAGCCCATTGTCAGTGAGTTCCACTCATAGCCACCCTGTAGGACAAAATATAATTGACTCATTTCCAGAGGTGTAATCTTTACGAACGCAGACATCTTTCTCCCACAGAGAAGTTGGTGGCTTGAACTGCTAACCTTTCAGTTAGCAGAGGAGAGCTTAACAACTGTGCTGCCATGGCACCGATAGTTGATAATAAACCAAAAACCAAACTCATTGCCATCAAATCAATGCCAACTCATAGTGACCCAATAGGCCAGGATAGAATGGCCCCTGTGGGTTTCTGAGACTGTAACTCTTTACAGGAGTAGAAAGCCCTGTATTTCCACTGAGCAGGGGTTGGGGGTTTCGAACTGGTGACCTCGCGGTTAGCGGCTGAACACATAACCGCTACAACACAAGGACTCCTTTATATCTGTCTAGAGCCTTGCTTTTATAGATGTTATAGCTTTACAAAAATGGCCACAATTATTTCAAGGACTAATAAATAATAATATATATCAATGTTATTAACCCTGAATTTTAAGTTTTTCTCATTTGTAATTCAGTGGTAAATACAAACAGTTTTATTTAGTATAAGATAGCATTGTTATCTGAGAGAGATTTAAGATGTTAAGTGTCTAGGGAACTGAAAATAATGTCATTATATACAACAGTTAAAAAGTGTTCCTACTAGGATTCCAATTCAGACATCTATGGATTTATTCTAAACAAAACCTGCTCAAACATGCCTCTATGCTAAAGGCAACATGTGGATGGCTAAAGGCAAATTCTCCCAGTAGTGCAGGGCGTACCCTTAAACATAAAACCAGACTCATAGCCATCAAATCAATTCCAACTCATAGTGACCCTGCGAGAGGTTTCGGAAACTCTGCCTGTTTATCAGGGCAGATAGCCTCACCTTTCTGTAAAGGAGCAGCTAGTGGCTTGGAACTGCCTACTCTCAATGGAGTAGCTCAATGCCTAGCCCACAGCACCTCTAAGGTTCCTTTCAGTCTTTTTAGGTGCCTCAAAAGGAGGGGGGTGGAGCATGTTCCTTCAAATCACTGGCATCCAACAGGATTTGTTTTGCCAATTAAACTCAAAGGAGAGAGATCAGCGCCAAGGGTTTCCTGGCAATTGTTTTTATACGGAATCCAAAGGTGTTCTCAAGGGACTTGTGATGATAATGGAGGCTTATAAGGAAGACGTGTGAAGACAATGAAAGGCTGCATTGGTGAGGAAAAGGCCGGTCAAGGTGCCCGAGGATTTTGTCCCCATGCAAACAATGTGTCTGGTCATGCTTCATCTTGTCTCTTGAGAATACTTTTTGTTCCCCAAACTCTAAGAACATATTGTATTTCCAGCCTTTTTATTATGAACTGGGTGAAGGTTTACCGAAAAGAAAATCCATTTTCCCTTCAAACCATACACATCTTGTTTCGTTTCATTTATTACAATCCCGCAATGACACATCACATCTCCCACTGCCTCCCTCTGTCTCCTGTTTCCATTTCTCCTTCCTTCCTAACCCTTCTGAATTTTGTCCTTGGGGAAATGTTAACCCTTTGTTTTCAAAGGGCTGGTTATTCTAAGGTGAACATATCCCCCTAAAGGCATTGTCCTCTTACAGACGTGCCTATCGTGTGTTGAAAATTGAGCCAGGGTGGTGAGTTCCTTTCCAGAGATGAAGGGTGGCAAAGGGCCATAGTCTTGGGGGTGCTTCCAGTCTCTCTCTGACCAATGAGCCTGGTCTGTTTTATGATTTTGAGTTTGGGGTCACATTTTTCTCCATGTGTTCCCGGACCTTCTTCTGGGATCTCTTCCAGATGAGTTGGGAGTAGCAGCTGGGCACCATCTAGTTCTTCTAGCCTCCAGGTCAGCGGTCCTCAGACTTTTTAAACAGGGGGCAGTTCACTGTCCCTCAGACCTGTTGGAGAGCCGGACTGTTGTTTTT